GCACGAAATTTGGATTTATAAGTAGATGAAGAACTCAAAATGTGGCCGAATGCAAAAACATACTGAAATTAGTGTAACCTAACATGTGACAAGTTTCGATGAAATCGGTTTAGATTTCGATATTTTGCTTTAAATTTATTTACATAATGTTGTGCCATTGTAAGAAGCAACTCTATATCTGACCAAAATTTATTATAGGGTGCAGAATGACATGTTTAATTTCATGTTAATGGTCTTTCAAAAAAGGCGACGTCTGTTAGGAGCCCATCTGTTGAATATACCCAAAGTGGTGAAGGGTATCATATAGTCGGCTCCGTCCGACTTTGCTACTTTTTTTACTGGTTTATCCTTGAAAAAATATAATTTTCAGGAAGAAGAATACCTCTTTGAGTTTAAAAAAATATATATTTTTTTTAAAGGAAGAAGACCTCTTTGATCCTTGAAAAAATAATATTTGAAGGAAGAAGACCTCTTTGGGTCTTAAATAAATATTTTTTAAGGGGAGAAGACCTCTTTGAGTCTTAAACAAATATTTTTTAAGGGGAGAAGACCTTCTTAAGTCTCGAAAAAAATATTTTTAAAGGAAGAAGACCTTCTTAAGTCTTGAAAAAATATTTTTAGAGGAAGAAGACCTTTTGAGCCTTGAAAAATTATTCTTTAAAGGAAGAATACTTCTTTGAGACTTTAAAACAATATTTTTTATAGAAAAAACACCATTTGGGCCTTGAAAAAAGTTCTTTACTAAATCCACGCCTATTTGGACCTTGAAAAATTATTCTTTAATAAATCCACGCCTATTTGGGCCTTGAAAAAATATTATATAATAAATCCACGCGTTGTTGGGCCTTGAAAAAATATTCTTGAGTAAATCCACACCTTCTAGAAAAATATATCTTAGCTTATCCTTTATTCTAATATATCATTCACCATTTGTCTCCTTGCCAACCTGTATTTCCTTTCATTCATCTCCGCATGGCTGGCTGGCTGCCTCTCTGGTCCCCCTAGGCCAATGATTTTAATTAAATTTTAGCAATTTGCACTTAGTGACAGATTGGCCATAATTAGCATTGCTTAATAATGATAAAGGATGATACCCACTTAAACGTTAATGGCAAATGTGATTGCAGCTACCCGTAGCTGTAGATGGCTACAATGAGCTGGTTAAGCTTTCAATTCTACAACTCAGTTCAGTAACTTACTTTGCCACACACACACACACATACAGAGATACGACAATGGTAATCTCAAGTGATTTAGTTCGGCGATGGTTGGTGGTAATGGTAATAATAGAAATTTATGCTGATAATGTTGAATCCTTGATGTTTATGCTGATGCAGGACTTCGTTCAAAGCTGTTCAAATGACAATTCCAGGCACGATTGTTGGCTAAGTGAACAACAATGTCCGGTGAAAAGGCGCACAATCACACACATACACGTAGATACATGTCATGTACTTATTATAGTGACAGACATACGACGTGTTGACCCAACACATGGACACACACACAGAAGGCATATAAATATTCATTTACTACTCTCGGTAGCTCTGCCATATTTGGAGCTAAGCATTTTGGCCGGGTACACACTTTTACCTTAGACAGGAGGTGAGCAAAGTAGTTTTACCTCCAGTTGGTATTAGATCAGCCACTTAATGTAGCTTAGATTTTAAATGGAATTTATGTTGTTGCATTTGTATTATAGTACATGTGTGTGTGAGGGAGTACTCCGCACACACATACACACACACGAGAGACATCCCATTAATATTCGCATTCCCATCATTTCTCCAATGTCCAATTCGTATTTTCTCATCTCCTCCGTTGAATCGTCTTGCAATTTTATGGACCATGTCTATGGATTAACAGACCTCTGCAACATTAAATATTTAATATTGTCTACATTTCTACACAAATTAACTCAGCTATGTAGGTATGCATGTGTGGCTGTCGGTGTGTGTGTCAAATGAGTATCATGCGGATTGATATATGCACTTGTCTCGCTATTCTATTCATGGCATAGATCTAAGATTATTAGAAGGAGATGAAGATGATGATGAAGAAGTAGACTGAGAATAAATGTACTTGAACCTCATAAAATTAATGACATGGGTGGGTGAGTGTGTTTCCCTGTGTATGTGTGAGTGTATGCTAAATGTTATTTAAATAAAATAAACTAGTTAATTTGCAAAGATTCTCCCCTATCTAAGAGGAAAGGCTCACAATCACACAAATATCATATCGTATGTGTGTATGAGTGGGTGTGTTTTGTTTATGTAAAGTATAGCCAGTGAGATAGCCACATATGAGTATGTATGAGTGTGTGTGTTTTTGCTGTGGCAAGATAAGTGCTAATGATTGGTATTCACACATAAACTTATCACTTAACCCGAACTCAAACATTCACACACACACACACACAAATCCTTTATTCGAAGCAAATGGACTGAGGAGAGTTGGTAGATTTATAGGTCTTCTTTAAGATATATAGATTTCCTTCTAACAGAATAACTTAGGTGTGGATTATTCAAAAAAATATTTTTCAAGGCCCTCAGAGGTGTGGATATTTTTAAAGTATTTTTCAAGGCCTCAATAGGCGTAGATTTTTAAAGCATGCTTTCTCAAGGCCCTCAGAGGTGTGGATTTCTTTAAACAATTTTTCCCCAAGGCCCAAATAGGCATGGTTTCTTTGAATAATCTTTTTTCAAGTCCCAAATAGGGAGGATTTATTGAAGATTATTTTTTAAAGCCCAAATAGGCGAGAGTTTATTGAAGATTATTTTTTCAAGACCCAAATAGTCGAGGATTTATTGAAGATTATTTTTTCAAGGTTTTCAAGTTCCATGGAGGCGTGGTTTTATTAGAGAATATTTTTTCAAGGTCCATGGAGGCGTGGTTTTATTGAAGAAGATTTTTTCAAGGTCCATAGAGGTGTGGTTTTATAAAAGAAGATTTTTTCAAGTTCCATAGAGGCGTGATTTTATTAAAGAAGATTTTTTTCAAGGACCATGGAGGCGTGGTTTTATTAAAGAAGATTTTTTTCAAGGACCATGGAGGCGTGGTTTTATTAAAGAAGATTTTTTTCAAGGACCATGGAGACGTGGTTTTATTAAAGAATATTTTTCAAGGCCCACAGAGGCGTGGATTTTTTAAAGAATATTTTTTCAAGGTCCATAGAGGTGTGGTTTTATAAAAGAAGATTTTTTCAAGGTCCATAGAGGCGTGATTTTATTAAAGAATATTTTTTCAAGTTCCATGGAGGCGTGGTTTTATTAAAGAATATTTTTTCAAGGTCCATGGAGGCGTGGTTTTATTAAAGAATATTTTTTCAAGGTCCATGGAGGCGTGGTTTTATTAAAGAAGATTTTTTTCAAGGACCATGGAGGCGTGGTTTTATTAAAGAAGATTTTTTTCAAGGACCATGGAGGCGTGGTTTTATTAAAGAAGATTTTTTTCAAGGACCATGGAGGCGTGGTTTTATTAAAGAAGATATTTTCAAGGACCATGGAGGCGTGGTTTTATTAAAGAAGATTTTTTTCAAGGACCATGGAGGCGTGGTTTTATTAAAGAAGATTTTTTTCAAGGACCATGGAGGCGTGGTTTTATTAAAGAAGATTTTTTTCAAGGACCATGGAGGCGTGGTTTTATTAAAGAAGATTTTTTTTCCTAAAATATTTTTTATGGTGAGTAGTGTTCTCTTCTTTCCTCCTTGTTGTTGTCAAAGATTTTATGTCGGTTTCCTAAAATGCCTATAATTCCATTTGTGTCGCTAATAGAGCGACTACAATTTGTATGTGGCTCGTTGTGTGAGCCATATAAAAAATAGATATAAAAAGAAAATTAAATCTATTTTACATTTCAAGGTCCCTTGCTTTTGTTTCTTTTCCGTATTTCCACTTCTGGTCACATTAGAGCTATTTTCCGATTCTTCCTTGTCTTAAAAAGCATATGTGCCTGGAATGAATAATACCACTTAGTAGAGAGAGTGAGAGATAGAAACCAATAAAGATATGTATTGATGCTTACATATGCCGGCAATTTTCGAAATATATTCAACAAGAGGACAAGCAGGATAACCATCACTAGCACCACCACTACTACCATTACAACCATGAGAACCATTCCAAAAAATAAAATGCCACAACTGCAATGGAAAGCCATAAAACTCATTTACGGCTTTCATTCTTTCGTTCTGGTGTCCATTCCATTCGGTTTCATTTTCTTCTATCACCCAATAATAAAATACTAATAAAATCTGTACTAAAAATACACACATACATACAGAGACACATTATTGCACACACACACATATACATACACAGTTACATTTATACGTGGTGAGTTCCACAGAATGCATGTGTAGCATTCCAATGAATGTTAAAAACGAAATACTGCGTTTTTATTGTTATTCGGTAAGGGCCATATAGGGTTATGAAAATAGAGGGACATTTTGAGAAAAAACTTATTATTTATTTTGGGGTGTGTAAGAAAGAAGCTGGTCTTGAAATATGTGGAAGAAAATTGAAGATTTGTAAAGGATTTCCGGCAATGGGAAAAATGAAATTTTTCAAATATTGTAGGAATTGAGAGACACATAAGCACAGTGGGTTGATATGTTTCAAAATTCAAAAAAAAAAAAAAAAAAAAAAAAAAAAACAAAAATAATAATAAAAAATACATAAAAACTTTTTTCGTTTTCAATTAATTTTATATATTTTACATTTCTTTATTATTTTTTTTAATATATAAAAAAATCTTCGAAGGCGTAAACAAAAAATTATTACTTATAAAAATTAACAAAAATAAAAACTGTTAAAAAACATATTTTTTCGCTCATAAATGCTAACTAAAATGCTGTTAATTGTTGAGTTGTGTGTTTTTTGTTCTCTTCTGCTAAATAAAAAATATATAAAATTAATATATGTATGTATTTATGTTTATATGTATGTTGATCTAATTCACTCCTGCTTCGCATATCATTAGCCTAATAGAAAATTCTTAACGGAATTATTTCCTTGGAACACCATAGAAGACCTCATACAAGGATGGTGGCAAATGTTCGGCCAAAAAGATTTGCAATTTCTCCTTGGGTGTGACGGGAGTATAGCGGGCCATGGGGAAGGAACGGGTGGTGGCATCGATCAAGACACGGACAGTGGGTTGGATATCGGCAGCCTGAGAAATAATTTGAATTTTATTTAATAAAAATTATTTAAAAATTTCTTTGGAAACCCACCTCTCTGGAATATTTCTCAATACAGGTCATGGCAGCCTCATAGTAATCCTCACCATAGGCTCTCTTTTGTTCGGGTGACATTTGTCCCCACATCTTCTTGGCTTGTTCACGCAAATCGGTATCCTTCAACCAGGCATTGCCAGGGGTAAATTCACCAGCAGCCACAACAGAGACATCGACCTTGCGGGTACGCATTTCCTGGCGCAAACAGGCAGCAAAGCTGTCAATGGCAGCCTGGGTGGCACATTGGACACTGCGTACGGGGGTGGGGATTTTGTTAAGGGCTAAAAGGATGCAATTTTTAATTATTAATTTTTTTTTTGGGATCAATAAATATTAAAAAAATTACCAGAAGTCAAGAAAATAACACGGCCACGGGCACCACGAATTAAAGGCAACATAATTTGAGTTAAACGAGCGCATCCTGCAATAAAAAATAAATACTTAGATTCCAAACTAAATCAAAACCTCTTTTTTTCTTACCCAACAAATTCAAATCCAAAGATTTACGCAATACTGTAAATGGCAACCATTCAATTTCACCCAAAGCAACCCATTGGGCACAGTGGATCAAGGCCCACAAACCCTTGGCACCGAATGGCAAATGTTCGGAGACAAACATGGCAGCTTCCAACATCTATTAAAAACAACAACAACAACAGTAATAATAATTTTTATTTTTCTTTAGAAAAATTTCTCTGAATTGGGTTTCTGCTGAACTTACCGACTTTTCCGATGTAATATCCAAATAGATGGTCTTCATACGTCCCGATGTCTCTTCCTTAAGTATGGTAGCCTCTTCACATTCTTCAATGGGTACATTGAACCCAGCATAGACATGGAAACCCAAGTCATCCAATTTCTTAGCCAAATACCATGCAATGGGTGATTCACAGCCAGTAATTAGGACACCTTTGCCGGAGGCGGTAACCTGGAAGAGATAAGGAGCATAAAAAGGAAATTATTTCAAATGTTGGTTACTAAACGAGGAAGACTAAGGAAGACCTTCCATAGGTATTTGTTTATATGACAGACTTTTCATAGGACTAAATATATATTGGCGTCTAGAGATAGAGGACCATAAAAATAGGTGCCATAAACTTTCCAAAGGTCATCCATAGATAGGAGATCTTCAGTTGTCTTATATGGACTAAGAAATTCCCAAAGTCCTGTCTAGACCTTTTGGATACTTTTTCGAAAGACCTTCCAGGAGTTTCTGTAAGGTCTTTGGAGTTTTTTATAGATTAGGAACCTCACACGGGACCAATATGGATAACCTTACAAAATATATATTCCATAAATAGCATTTCTAAGAGTCATACATATATACGGGACCCTTAGAAGTCTTATAGAGGCAAAATATTATTGAGAGGTCTCATAAAACCTTTTAGGCGCTTCTACAGATGGATGCATTCGCAGGGATATTCTATATTCTGGATGGCTTATATATGTAGGGAACGTCTCACGAATCTGCTATGGATAACAGGCCATACTAAAGTATTCTATAACTAGAGGATCCATCAGAGGTTTTGAGGTCTTTTGGAAGGCCTTTTGGAGGTTTTCTGTGGATCATGTTGACCTATCAGAGGACTACCATAGATTGAAGGATATTCTAAAGGCTTCTGACGTTTACAAAATATCCTCCGGAAGATTCCTAAACAAAGAAGACATAGATCCAGGAGATCTTCAGAGCTTTTAGGTGTGGGGCCTTCCGGAGGTACAATTTTAGATGGAGAACTTTTGTAGTCTTTATAGGCATATTTCCGTAATTCGGGTTTCAGTGGGATTTTTAAATTTGGATGGCCTTTCAGAGGTTTTTATTGGGTCCTGTGGACATTTCACAGGTCTGCCCTAGTCTAGAGGCTTTTTAGAAGACTTCTGTCAATAGAAAACCATTTGAGCTATATAGATTTAATACCTCAAGAAAAAAAAATCCAGAGGTTATCTTCTAGATTATGACCCTAAATCTGAGTTCGAGTGAGCTGGTAACACACTGGGAACATCGCCAGATCACAAACAGTTCACCAGCTCATTGCCAGTTCACTAACAGTTCACCAGCTCATTGGACCGTTCGCCAGCTCACTGGGAAGTTCTCCACTTCACTTGACGTTCACCCGCTCCCTGGGGTCTTCGCCAGTTCACTAGACGTTCACCAGCTCACTGGAGAGTTCGTCAGTTCACTAGAAGTTCACCAGCACCATGGCCAGTTCGTCACTTCACTTCATTGGACCGTTCGCGAATTCACTTACAGGGAAGTTCTACACTTCACTTGACGTTCACCCGCACACTGGGGTCTTCGCCAGTTCACTAGACGTTCACCAGCTCATTGGCTAACAAGCTCACTGGAGAGTTCGTCAGTTCACTAGAAGTTCACCAGCTCCCTGGCCAGTTCGTCACTTCATTAGAAGTTCACAAGCTCACTGGTCAATTCGTCAGTTCACTAACAGCTCATCAGCTCACTGGTCAGTTCGCCAGTTCACTAGATGTTCACAGTTCGAAAGTTCACAGACAGTTCACCAGTGGGCTATAGAACTATAGAAAAAAGTAATCCTCATGGATCTGAGGTTTATTTCTATAGAAAAAAGTGAGTCTTCAGGGACGTGAGGATTTTTTCTATAGAAAACAGTGAGTCTTCAGGGGCCTGAGAAATTTTTTTGTATATAAAAAAGTAATCTCAAGGACCTGACGGATTTTTTTTCTATAGAAAAAAGTAATCCTCAGGGACCTGATAGATTTTTTATAGAAAGCGAATTTATAGAAAAAAGTAATCCTCAAAAACCTGACGGATTTTTTCTATAGAAATATAGTTCCTCTTGAATAACCCTCTCCGAAATTTCGTTGCGGGAAAAAATACATAAAATTCTACTACTTCTGCTCCCACACACATACTCATACATGCATCACAATTTTTATACGTGCATACAAACACACTCGCACACACACTAACACGAGAATATTGGTCTTAAAAGATAATAAAATTGATGTTCTGCTGTGCATTTGGATGTGTGCGTGCCTATGATATTTTGTATATGGTAGTCGACGAAGAAACAAAAACGATTTCCGTTTGGGGGTGAAAAAACAAAAACACCTCTACATTGTTGCTTTTTTTCCCATTCGTGAGCGAATGTTTGCTCGGATGCTTTCTTCATCCATGAGGTGTTTTGGTAATTGTGATGTTGCACAGAGAATTGGAAAAGGCAACAGGAAAACAACAGAACAGAACCGAAATGGGGAAGGCGAAAAACAACAGAAATAAGTGTAGTTCTATGCCATAACCCTTAGCTACGGAGGATCAAATCGAAAATGAAAACGAGAAATCATTAGAAACAATATAACGAGGCTAGGGTCAGAAATAACCAACTAAACATCGAACCAGCCAGCGTGGCAGATATACAACCCGGCAGTCATGCAGCCAACGGACCCGACCCATTCATTGGAATGCTCTGACATTGATTGTATTTGGTTTTAGGTTTCCTGAGTAGTATAACTGACTGACTGCGGGGCTGGTTGTCTGGTTGGTTATTTGGTTTGGTTGGCTATTCCCTAACTCCCTAAGTATCATGGTGTAAAAAAAGTCTGTCACACAGCCGACACACACACACCCAAACCATGGAATATGGCCACCGACTAACTGAAGTGAGAGCTCCTGGTACTAGTTCGTGGCTATTTTTAGCTACAAGGTTTATTATCTGCTCTACACTTGCAATACGAGGAGGACAGCAAAAATGAATATAAATTTATTTGTGTGTGTATGTATGTGTGTGTTTCTGTACTATAACTACACAAATGTTTTTATTGCTTTCACTTATTGTTTTGTGTCTCTCTGTGTGTGTGAGTGTGCGAAACACAACTATGGCCGATGTTGAGAGGGATAAGAAGGAAGAAAGAAAAAGAAAAACAACACCAAACAGAATTGAAATACCAGAAATTAGAGATGAAAATAAAAAAGGAAATACAAAGACAAAGACAACGAGGTGTAAGATTGTCTTTTGAGGGGAGGATAGATGGGGATAGAGGGGGGTTTTCATAAGTATACATCAAACATTGGCATGACCGGAAACAACATTAACTTAAGATTTGTGATTCTGCTTTGTGCATAATAAAGCAACGAGAAAACAAAACAACAAAGTGTAATGAAGAAAATAAACAACAAATCAACTTCAAGGTCTATGGTCAGTTGCGGTATAGAGATTTTACAGTAAAGTTTAATGGGAAGTTTAATGGGAAAGTTTAATCTTGGGAAAATATTAAAGGTAGCTGAGATTTCTGACATTTAGGAATCAAAAATAAGTAAATTATTGGCCCAAAGGGAAAAGATATAGCCGAGGGGGCAAGGGTGGGGAAATAGAGTTTGGAAACTCATTAGAAGTTCCCACAATCCATAAGATTCTAATCATCAGGAATCTAAGGATTTTTTCTATAGAAAAGGCAAATTCTAAGGGATAGGACAATTTTTTTCTACAGAGAAAAAACTACTCAGGCCCTTGAAAATTACTTTTTTCTATAAAAAAAATTCCTCAGGTCCATGGGGACTTTCTCCTATTAAAAACATCCTCAGGTCCCTTAGGTCTAATTTTTCTATAGGAAAAATTCTTCGGGTCCTTGATATTTTTTTTTATAAAAAATCCTCAGGGACCTAAGAATTTTTTTTCTATTTTTTTTTCTTCCTAATTTTTTTCTATAGAAAAAAGTAATCCTCAGGGACCTGAAGATTTTTTTTCTACAGAAAAAAGGCATCCTCAGGGACATGATGAATTTTTTTTCTTTAGAAAAAAGTCTTCCTCAGGGATTTGAGGATTTTTTTTATAGAAAAAGTCCTCCTCAGGGACCTGAGGACTGTTTTTTTTAGAGAAAAAACGTCTTACTCAGGGACCTGAGGCAGTTTTTTCTATAGAAAAAAGTAGTCCTCAGGGACCTGAGGAATTTTTTTCTATAGAAAAAAGTAGTCCTCAGGGACCTGAGGAATTTTTTTCTATAGAAAAAAGTCTTCCTCAGGGACCTGAGCATTTTTTATATATAGAAAAAAGTAATCCTGAGGAATTTTTTTCTATAGAAAAAAGTCTTCCTCAGGGAACTGAGGAATTTTTTCTATAGAGCATTTAGCATTTTATCTATAGCAAAAAGTCTTCCTCAGGGACCTGAGGAATTTTTTTCTATATAAACAAGTCTTCCTCAGGCCCCTGAGGATTTTTTTATACAAAAAAGTCTTCCTCAGGGGCCTGAGAAATTTTTTTCTTTAGAAAAAAGTCTTCCTCAGGGACCTGAGGAATTTTTTTCTATAGAAAAAAGTCTTCCTCAGGGACCTGAGGAATTTTTTTCTATAGAAAGATTTTTTAGAGAAAAAAGTAATCCTCAGGGACCTGAGGAATTTTTTTCTATAGAAAAAAGTAGTCCTCAGGATCCTGAGCAATTTTTTTTTCTATAGAAAAAAGTCTTCCTCAGTGACCTGAGGAATTTTTTTCTATTGAAAAAAAGTCTTCCTCAGGGACCAGAGGAATTTTTTTTCTATTGAAAATAGTCTTACTCAGAAACGTGAAGAAATTTTTATATAGAAAAAAGTCTTTTTACGGAATTTTTTCTTTAAAAAAATTAATCTTCGGTGATCTGTTTATTTTTTTATTGGAAAGAGACCTGGGGAAAAGTATAGTCCTCAGAGACCTAATGATTTTTTCTATAGAAAAATAATAATCCTCAGGGATCTGAGGATTTTTTTTAATCAAAAAAATAATCCTCAGGGACATGAGGATTTTTTTTTTTTCTATAGAATTTTCTATAGAAAATGCAGTCCTAATGGACCTGTGGAATTTCTTAGTATTTTCTTGCTTCTTATCCTGCTTCCTTGTGATGTTAGCTCTCATATTTCCACCATGCATTTTTGTCCCCCAAAAATTCTCCTCAACATTGTTGCATACTTTAAGGTTAGAATATTTAAATATTCTCCCCGTCCCCTTTTTTTGATTTTCATAGCAGATTTAATATTTGACCAACCATCACCTGCTCCGGACTTAGTAGAGATGGCCATTAAAACGTCTCCTATTACATTGTCCTTATTTCGGGTTATCCTTATGGTTTGTGTTTAGTTTTACTTTATTTATTTTTTGTTCTGTTATGCTCTTTGCCATGTTGGTGTCCTTAAGCAGAAGATTATGTTTGCGGTTAACCATAAAAACCGGATACTAATATAGAGTGTCAAATTCTATTGTTTATGCAAATGTATGCGTAAGTGAAAGAGAGGGAGAGAGAGGAAAAAATGTTTTATGTTCATGGCCACCAAAAAAAGAAAAATCCTTCATTTCATACAAGAAATGGCAAAACTTTAAAACATATTCTTGAACTTGGTTCTGGTTGGCTTTATTAACCTGAAATGCTAATGGAAAATCTTAAATGTTTGCAACTGTTTTAGTGGGTTTGTGGTCTGTCTCTTTGGATCGGAAATATAAAGTTTTCTAATTAAAAATATTGTCTGTTTTAATTATGACGTCCGGATGCCGGAGATATTCTAAGTAGTTTGGTTAGTTTGCCAGGGCTGTGATTGGCTAAGGAGACTGAAGCGGTGGGGATTTGTTGTGGGAAACCATGGGGGAGATTGGAAAGAAAATTAAATATGGCAGAAGTATAATACATCCTGCTCCAATCTGAAGTATAATACATCCAGCTCCAATAAAGGGTCATAACTTATTCTTAAACCATTTGAATGAAAGGAAGTGCTTTGAATTATTTTTCACATTTAATTTTGGTAATTTAAAACTCCTTCTTCTTTACTTCAAAATTTTCATTTAAAATTGTCGTAATTGTTTTGAATTCCGTCTTAATATTTGGTATTCAATTAATACCAAAACATCTTTAATTATTTCCCATTGTTCATTCAAACCAAACAAATTTGTCCTCTGTCTGATGGCCGGTCCATTGCCATCGACATAATCATTAGCCTCATTATTGCATCATTGTTCTGTCTAATGACGAGCTTCACGATGATGATGATGACGACGACGACAATGATGGCGGAATTCAAGTCATGGCCACTTTCTTCAAATGGCAACATTTTTATTAATTTTCCTGTTTAGAGGAAATTTTCTACTCATCAGCACCGACAAAACTTTATTCGTGATGAGTAGATGCCAGTCTAAAAAAATATTTCTTCTTGTCCTCCACTTACCTTGACAAAATGATAAAACAATACAGCACCGACGGTGGACAAGGCAAACCAAACGAACACGGCAAATGTCGATACATGGGAAATATCAAAGAAATGCAAAGCATTTGAAATAACCACGGCAGCGGCATGACAGAACAGGAATGGCATAGCAAGACGTTCCAAAATGTCCCATGGAATCTCGGAGGATTTTTGTGGCAAGGTTGAAATCGAACCACGTCTCAGGGAGGCACGGCGCGATGCACGACGCTGAAAAGGAAATAGATTTGAGATGAGAATAAATGAAAAAATGTATTATAAATAAATATATAAATATAGATTAAATTAAGCAAGGAGAGATTTTGAATAAATACTTCTATTCTCAGAAATAAATGTCGATAATTTGGAGATACGAATTTAAATAATATATATAAGGATAATATTTATTTGCTCTTTCAAAGCGTACTAACTCAGTAATATTTGTCTCTCTATATCAGTTATTTTGAATTTTTTAGTTCATGTTGGATTCACTAGTTCACTGGGAGTGAACCAGTTGTATACTAGCTCACTGGGAGTTCAAAAGTAAAATATCAATTTAAAGTTACTAGGAGTTCACGAAATCACTGGAAATGGTCATACTAGTTCGTTGTGAGTGCTAAAATTTATTGAGAGATCACAGTTCAACATATGTTGAAGGTTTCTATACAGAGTCGTCATTTCTTCGACTAATTAAAAACGCCAACTCATTGGGAGTGAGTCAGTGTCATACTAGCTCACAAGCTCACTGGGAGCTCAAATATTCAATGGCAGTTCAAACGTTACTAGGAGTTCACCAAATCACTGGAAATGGGCCAGCTTATACTATTTCATTGTGCTTTCAACAATTAAATGCTAGGTATAGAGATTTTACATTAAAATTTAATGGGAAGGCTAAAATCTTTGGAAAATATTGAAGGTAGCAGAGATTCACAGTGCCATATAAGTTGACGATTATTGATACAGGAGAATATATAGCTAGTTCATCAACTAAATTCACAACGCCCCTATAAGTTCAACAGTTCAAATAGGAGTCCACAAACATATTGGGAGTGAGTCAGTGCCATACTAGTTCACTAGCTCACTTTGAGTTCAATGGTAGTTCAACCGTTTCCTAAGAGGTTCGTCTTATCGGCTGTTTATCAGCCATGGTCACGCTGGCTCATTGGAAATTGTCAATTTCGGAATAAGTTTGATGAGTTCAAAACGTGTATTACAGCACAGGTTTTCACTAATCCGGAGGTTTTCAATCGTGCAAAAAGGGTTTACAAGTTCACTGCTCACTGTGTATGCAGAATAATAATTTCTTCAGATAACTAAAAGTTTTATCCTTCAACTTGCATAGGTCGCCAGTTCTCTAAGAGTTGGTGACTTCGTTCGTTTACTATGTGCATCTCGACCTTATAAGTTCATCAGTTAATTTCTAAAAAAATAATTTCTATAATCACTGATGATCCAAATTCTTCCTAGAAGAATTGGATTTCTATTAGTTCTTAATTTTCCTAAGGGTTCACTAGTCCCTTTTCCGTAGTTATCGATGTTTCACTAGTTCCCATGAATTCTCGAGTTTAAGAGAAGTTTATTAGTTCAACAATTCCTAGTTTGTATGAGTCAGGAGGTGGTTATAGGACACCTAAGCATGTAGCGTTATGGTTCTCTACGTCCCTTATGAGCTCGTTCATTTCAATGGAAGTGGTGTCGACAATTTTGACTGGATTTTTTCGATTTCTAGCTTTGCGCAATTATAGGAAAGCTTACCTTCTATCTTGAATTTTTAATGAGTTATTGTTTACCGAATCTTCATGTGAGTGCATCAGTTACCTATTTTTATTTATTCATAGCTTACGTATGATTTGATAATATCTACGTTCCTATGTATCTCTCAAATGATTTTCTTTGTTAGAAAGATCTATTGCGTTTTGGTGATTCTCTAGTTCTTTAGAGTTTCGATTTCGATTTCAATGGAAATCACAATGGTGTCGATAATTTTGACTGCATTTTGAAGTTCATTATTCGATTTCTAGCTTTGTGCAATTATAGGAAAGCTTCTGAATAATTAATTAATTAATTGTCTTGAATTTTTAATGAGTTATGGTTTACCCAATCTTCATGTGAGTGCATCAGTTACCTATTTTTATATTAGGCCCTATATACGTATAAGTATTGATAATACGCATACGTTAGTATGTACGATATTCTTAAATGATTTGCTTTGCTAGGAAAGATCAATCTTTCGAAACTGGGGCTTAAACATGATTTTCCGAATTATGATGAATACTATTTGGTGAAATTCAGATTCTGATATATATTTCTTCAATTGATACATTTCTCCCACGCTTTCAGGAGGAAATATATGGGTTTTCAAGGTGAAAAAATTATTTTGAAATGTTTGGACTCATTTAAACACAACAGTTTGGTATTTTGTACAAAAACAATTGATGGATGACAATAAATCTATTTTTTAGGACGCTATAGAAATAAAAATTATTACCGAATTTTCTGATTCCTATTTCAAATGTAACTTCCTGTAGATAATATGTATCTGGACAAGCTTTCATTGAACCCAAAATGGTTCCAAGGGCTTCTCTGCTACTATTAAATGACACCGTACATCGTGACGTATGAGTGTTGTCAATACGTATACGTCCATGCGTCCCTATTTAAAACATTAAATGATCTGTACAATTTTTAAATTCAATTTTAACATGCTACAGTTTTTAAATTCAAATAAAAATATTTTGTAAATCTGATTTTTTCATGAAGCTCCGAGATTACCATGCTTAAAATGGGATATGATAAATGATTTTGAAAAAAAAGATTTCCCGCTTAACCTATCATAAATATATACCTTCCAAGCTGTGATCTTAGAATTGTCCCATATTTAAAATTTTATTCAAGAAGATTTCTTAGATTTCTTCTCTGCTACTATTAAATGACTCTGTGCATCATGACGTATGAGTATTGTCAATACGTATACGTCCATAGGTTCCTATTTAAAATATTAAATGATCTGTAAAATATTTAATTCAATTTTAACATGCTACAGTTTTTAAATTCAAATTAAAATATTTTGTAAATCTGATCTTTTCATGAAGTTCCGAGATTACCATGCTTAAAATGGGATATGATAAATGATTTTGAAAAAAAAAGATTTCCCGCTTAACCTATCATAAATATATACCTTCCAAGCTGTGGTCTTAGATTTGTCCATATTTAAAATTTTATTGAAGATGATTTCTGAGAATGTTTTAGCCTTCCTTGGTGCCTACAATACGATATTAAAATGCCTAGCTGAATAATTCGCCGGCCGGCTAAAGTTCCGAACTATTGCTAGTATTCACCTCATTTTAAATAAACAAATAGATAAAAAAAACATAAATAAAATTCGGCCACAATTCTCTCATTTAGCAAGGTTAACATGAATGGCAACAGCAAACAAATAAAAAACTGAAATAAAACTGTCTAATTTGAAAGTGAACATGGGGGAAGACTTGTAGCGATTGATGTCAATTGATGCACTTGTGCTGCTCCTATCTTCCCCCAAACCAATAGAATACAAATCGTATTGAAATATTTACAATCAATGTTCATTGTCATTAGACAACAAAGCTTTCTGTGTTTGATGCCCCAGAAAATTGCAGTTTATTTTTAGAATTCGATGCAAACAAATCGTCGAATAAAAATTGAAAATAAAAAGTGTTTTCAAATCTAATAAATCAATATTAATGTTAATTTTTGATTTTTGTAAATTGCTATAATTTTGATGAACGTCAGAACAGAATTATTATCTTCTGCTTATCCTACGTATTTATGTAAATGAACGTGTCAAATGTTATGCCTAATATTTTAGGATTTTTTTTTGGTACATATGTACGTACATTGACCGATTTGGTAATTGGCCAAAAAATATATATATATATATTTGTAATTAGTTCTTCGTTCGTGTTCTGCTTGACGATTTGCCATTAATGAAATGTTGTTGGCGGTTGTGGGGTTTCTGGTCTTAGCTGTAATGTAGTGGCGTTTAGCTGTAATGTGCCAATGAATTTATATTTTTAAAATTTGATCGGAAACAAAATATATATACGTGGTTATGCAGGTGCCTATTTTTAACATGAATGATAAATATAAGGAAGGAACAAATAATGGGCGGTTAGCATAGGTCGTGACTATGACTAATGGGTAATCAGGGATGTGATGTAAATTGTCAAGTGCAATTTTTTATAACTATGGACCTCTAAGCTCGTTGGCTCTTTATTGAAATTTCTATATGAATGACTGTAGGCGTATACGTATTGTCAGTACTCATACGTTTTTATGTACTCTTGTCTGTAATAATTTGTAATGTAATGGATTTATTTTTCCCCAACCTTATATTAAAATTTGATATTTATAAAAAATAAATTTATAATCCTTTTGAAATAAGTAGGCTTCCAAAACATATACTATAGACCAATCCCTTAAGATTATTTTTAAATTAAGGAGCCCTATACGTATACGTGCCGCCAATACTCATACGCCCATGTTCCACATTTATTTATTATGTAGTTTGCGCTGACTTTTTTCTGAATTCCATTTTCAAAATGAAATACTTCTGAAAAAATGCAACTCAAACCTGTTAATACAGATTTGATATTAAAAAAATTAATTGGTATCCATTTGAAAATAATCTGACTCTAGACTTCCAAAGCATGTATCATTAAATTTTTGCAGCTAAAGACCAGATCCTAAAGAAGTTTATTATAGTAATAAACTATTGTCGTATACACGTCTATATTTCATACATATTTTATTTGTGGTCTGTGAAATTGATCTCAAATCTATCTGAATTATATTTTGAGTTACAATTAACCAAAAATATCCTCACTAACTGGGAAATTCACTTACGCATAAACAGCAATCATACGACGTGGTGTCAGAGAATTCTGAAATCTAAGTTTAATGAAATAAATTTCCCGATAACAACAAAATCTGAATAAAAAATAAAATTTTGAATGTTTCCAAATAAATAACTCAATGTTGAGAACTTTATACGTTTACGTGTTGACAGCAATTATACGCCCTTGTGTACGACAATACTTTGGAATATCAAGTATTTTGATTTGTTACATCTCCTTTAAGGATCTCAGGCCATATTAAAATCTCCTCCGTTCTCTGTGGCTAATTAGATTAGCTAATTTGGTTAATCTGTATAATTTGTGTATGCCACAAGTGTTATTTTTTTAAAAAAATAAACTTTAGAATGTTTTGTGTCTGTCACAAAAAAAAAAAGAAATATTCCCTCCTCTTAACATATCTAGTCAATTTGTGTCATTTATATTAACATATACGACACGAAATATCAACGAAAGCATTTTATTTTGAAATCCAGGGACTTTGACTAATACATAAATATTTATGTATAAATTAAGAAACATTTCAACAATAAAAATAAATAAAAAAGCAGAAAGAAACATTCTAGAAAGAAAATGTTTTACTGCTCCAAAAATAATTCTAGCTCATTTGCTGTTTGTCTGTCTGTCTCTTCGTCTCTATATTGACTTGGTAAAATTCCAAAAGTGCAATAGATTTCTTTCTATTTTATTCGAAATATTTTATATTTGGATTTATATGATTTGTTTTCTATTGTTTTTTTTCAGATTTTTTGTTTTGAGTTTTGTATGAATTTTTTTCTTGAAAATGTTTTTTTTCTTGTGGAGATTTTGTGGAAAACAGCAAACAAAAGACGTTTGTGGCTAATATCTATGAACAATATTATAATTTATTTGTGTTTGTTTGTTTTCTGTTTTTTTTCTATTTATTATTTTTTGGCTGATGGAAATCATCAAATGTATTTTAAGAAATTCAAAATAGCTTTCTCATAATATCTATGCAGTTTTTGTTTTGTATTAACTTGCAAGGTCGAAATTGTTGCCAATAATTTGAAGTAAGTTTTGGAAAAAATAAAATCAATCAATATGAATTAAATATTATTTTTTTTTAATGAACATATGATTGAAAATGTCAGTATAATCTATTTTTTAAATATACTTTTTTATTAGATATATTGACGATTTTATTCAGTTCTTCAGTTTTTGGAAACAGATTGATCAATCACTGTGAACGACACTTTGCTTAAGAAAAAAATTATATAGTCATAGAGGAGCATTTTTTTCCATAGAAAACAATTCTTCAGTCACAAGGGAAAACTCAATTCAGAAGAAAAAAATATTTCCGAAACCACTGTTTATAATAGAAAACATGATATCCATGTCAATTATTTGATAGATCCGCTTGATCGTATACGTACTGACAATACGTATACGCATAATCATTCAATATATAATATTTGTTTAAGTTGTATTTCGTTAATTTTTATTATTGAAGTGGAATAAATTATATGTAAGTATAGTAATGGCACGAACGTATGGCTATTATTTGGAGATGCTAATACTAAAATGAAGAAAATCAAAGTCAAATCTTCCGTAGAAAACATTTCTTCGGACACTGAAGAAGATTCATTTCTTTATAAAAAATCATTTCTTCAGACACTCAGGAAGATTCATTTCTTTATAAAAAAATCCTTTGTCGCTATAGAAACAAATCCTCAGGACGATATTTATACAGAAACAATACATAGACTGAGTATTGTTTCTGTAGAGATATTATCCTGATGACTTACTTCTATAGTATAAATTCAATACCTTAAACTATAAAACAATTATATTCTATTCTTTCATATGTAGATATATTTTATCGATATAAATATACAAGTAAATAAATATTTTTATTTCTAATACTTACAATTGTGCTGTCAAAGACTTGCATTTTGATGGTATTGCGATTCTTTGTTGGTGGTTAAAAATCCTTCTAATGAAATTTGGAAAAGAAATGAAGATACATTAGTTTTTTTATTCACATTTAACCGGCACAAAAAATTAATTATTATTTATTCATAATTATTCAAAATTTTTTGAGTTTTTGTAATTATTTGATTCCATTTGATTGTTTATGATATAAATATTAATTTATTTTAACAATATTAATTTCCTTTGACCTAATAATGAGGGACAATAATGCAGTCCCCTAGTTGTATACGTGATGACAATACTTATACGCCTATTTTCCAGAATATAATAAATTAAAAACGTACAGTTAAATAAAGGTAAATTTAATAATAAATGCCATTGAAATACTATTTTTTGGTTTTGGTCGATTATTCCTGAAATGTCTTCTGAATATATGAAATCTAATATATGTCAAAAATATGTAATACTCTACATAGAAAATAAAATTGTGTGCAAGACAGTTAGACGAAATCTTTCTAAAATTCTTTCTAAAATATTCTATCGAAAACTGGGAGTAATAAACATGAAGAAATTTTCCATGTGGTTCGATTTGTAATTTCTATCAATCAGCAACAGATCTTCAATAATTGTCATATTTCGAGCTTTATTTGTGCTCCCACTAGTAAAATAATATTGGAAATTAGAATTATGATAATAAAAAAAGCCAATATAAAAAATGTCAACAGATACACATAATCTGTGCAAGGTGCAAAATCAGATCCCCAAAGAAATGATTGAGATTTCTGATAAACTGAAAACCGGAATGGTGCGGAAAGCGGCACTTGAAGCTGTGTACAAGTCACACGAAACGAAAATGGACGAGGCGAGATTAAATAATCTAAAATTAAACAAACTGGGTGCAAATAATGACGTATACTTTAAGGACAATATGTGGGTCCGACTCCTGAGCGTGCATGATATATGCAGAGGTCTCATGCAGAAAATTAAAGAAGAACCCGAAAAGCAAGAGATAGCAGAGCTAGTGGAGCCTGGAAAGCCGACAGGAACAGAATCCCTAGAGCAGGGATGCCGCAGCAGTTGTTGGTGATGCAGGAGCAAATCCAGAAATGTCTGCAATTTCAACAGCAGTTTATGCAGTGGCAGATGAGTAAGGAAGCTCCTCAGCGAGAAGAAGATCAGACGGCGTTAATTCCCCCATAGGAAAATTGCAAATTGCCGATGCCATGGAAGTTGACATTGCTGGATTCTCTAGATATGCTCTGGAGAAGGTCAAGTCTACGTGGGAGAGACAATTCGAGGATATTAAGTGACTACATTTAGAATTAACCACGGACCATGGACTGGAAGAAGTGGATGAAGAATTAGAAGAAATGATGAACACGAAAATCCAAATAATAATTGGGGAAATAAGTGACGTAAAAGAAACTCATGCGGTGGAATTAAAACGAATAGAGAATGGAAATGTAGAGGAATGGAGTTCCTTCCACGATATGTTAAAAAATGATAGATGGTAATATTCAACTTTCGGACGTGCAAAAGTTGTATTATCTGAAAACCAAATTGAAAGGAGAAGTCCTACGATTAGTGCAGCATCTACAAGAAACTGACGCAAACTACAAGGCAGCGTGGGAGTTGCTGGAGGAGCGATACAGTAACAAGAGAATTTTATTCACGAAACTAGTGGATAAGATTTTGGATCACCCGAATATAAATAGTCAATCGACATCCAGCTTAAGGATGTCGATAGCGTGAATGAGACTGTTCACGCATTGAAGGCGATGGAAATACCGTTAGGCCATGCTGATCCGATTTTATCCAGGATTATTATAAGAAATCTGGACAAAGAGGGACTTATTCAGTACGAGCAAAATGTGAAAAAAGTCTAAAGAAATTTAAAAACTTGCAGACGTGCTGGACTTCCTGGTACAGCAATATCAAGCATTGGAAGCAGCAGCAGACAGAAGACAATACGTTCCAGGAGTATTCAAGCAGCAAGACAGATCCGGAATAGCGGAGAACAGGTTATGCAGATTTTGCAAGCTGGTTGGTCATGACATTGTGGCGTGTAGGATATTTGCGGCACAATCATCGGTGAAGTCAGCCCAGTTATGCCTAAAGTGCCTGAAGCACGAAAAAGAGAAGAGGTGTCTAGGCGATGGTAAATGTCGGAAATGTGGATTGAGTCATAACACGCTGATCAATTAGGATGAAGTAAGCAACTCTAAGGCAGTGACAACCAACACAGCAGCAAATGTTCTCCTGGCAACAGCCCAAGTCCGAGTAAGGTCTTTACATGGCGAGTACATAAGATTAAGGGCTTTAATCGACTACAACTACCAAAAAAGAAGACCGATGTGAAGCTAAGATGTCTCGGAGAGACTATTGTGGGAGTAGCGAAATCAAAAGTGTTGCTCGAAATAAGTCCGAGATTTTTCAGCAGTACAAAGATCAATGTCGAAGCCCTAGTCCTGCCGAAATTAGCATCACCTTATCCTGATAGCACTTTCCAGTACAACATTCAGCGATGGAGAAACGTACATTTGGCCGATCCAAATTTCAACAATACAGAAAGATTCGAATCAGCATTCAACCAAGATAGTTATATCCTTTCTCCCGCTCCTTACATGTATAGACTAAAAATTTAGAATTTGTATATAAAATATGTATTTTGTAACATCTGGAATATGAGAGTTTTGAAAGGAGGGCTGGATCATTGTAAATGGTAATAAAAAATATTTATTATTTCGTGCCACATTTTTTCTACACTTTATATTCTCACTAATATATTTTTAAACATATTTATATATTTAAGAATATATAATATTGTCACACCAAGTTATTAGGATCTAAGACTGCATTAATCGTTCCATTATTGCAGAAATTAAATTTATATTAAAAATAATTTATATATTTGCAATATTTGTGAATGTAAAATCTAAAAATAACTAATTTATCATAAAATTTATTGTTTGACTTTTTTATGTGTTCAATAAATTTTGGAAATTTATTTCAATTTTGAAATGTTTGTCTGTTATTTAATTTTTTTATTTGATTTTTTATTATGTTCTTCGTCATCGCCATTTGACATTCTGGAATCTTCGATTGTTCGCTTTTCATTATATATATTTTTATTTTCAAATTTTTATTAATTTATACATATTCATAAATCACATTCAAATCACCTTTCACTCGATAAAAAAAATTGGTGAAATAAAATTTCACTCGATTTCGTCTAGATAAATATTTTCTTAAAATTAAATTTTTTTCGTATCGTTTTTCTTAATCAGTAAATATTTGTTTGTTTTTTATTCTATCGTGGGAAGGATGTCTTGCGAATAACAAAGACGATTTTCACGTTATGAATCGCGTCGTTCAACTGATATGACCGTTCCGCTGTGGGCTGTGGTGTGGATGATGAGCGTAGCGTTGTGTTGTTCAGCGTTGAGGTAAAGAACAACAACTGCCGCCACAGCAACGGAGACAACAACAAAATTGAAAAAGAAAAACAAAAAAAAAAAAAAAAATGATTCTTGTTGTTGTTGTTTCAAAATTTACTCAGTGATATATTTTTCTTCTACTTAGGAGACACATATATGAATCTTGTAGATCTATATGTGTATATATTTTTTTGAAAACAACAACAACAAAAATATTTATTTTTTCTTGTTCGTCGAAAAAAAGATCAACCGGCACGTAGGAACATTGCAACAACAAATTTGTGTGTTGTTGTTGTTGACTGTTTGGGTATCTTTGCGTAGAGGCCGTTGAATATTTTTGAATTATGTTGTGTTTTTGTTGTTGTTGTTGTTCTATTTTTTGTTTTTTGTATGGAGACACATTTTCTTGTCAAGCTATATGTACGAGCGGATGTATGTCATTTTTTATAAATTAGTTTTCTTTTTTTTGTTAAAATATCTAATTTTTTTTGTTAACATGACTGTGTTAAATATTCGAAATTTGAAAAATCGAAGCCTACACAAAAAATTCTAAAGAAAATTTTTAATTTTTTTTTCCAATTTTTTCGAAATACTTAATTGAACATTTTGTCGGACATATTGAAAAGAACCCGAAAACTCATCAAGTTTTTCTTTATTTTTAAAACTGTCAGCAACACTTTTACATGTGTATGTATATGTGCGTGTGTGTGATTTTTTCTATTCATTCATAGATTTGAACACACAATGCGTTTTTTTATTTTTTCAATATTTTGTAATAAAAATACAACAAATGTAGTTTTGTTGTTGTTGTGATTGTTTTTTGTCATAGCTGTAGCTGGAAATAGATGCAGTTTTTTGGTACCCGGGAATGCACTGGGAGAAAAAAAGTGTAGTTTGGAGTGAAATAAAGACTGTGGTTGTTATAAAAACACTAATTTGGAATTGGAATATTGTATTATATATATATATATATAGTATTATTACAACAACTTTGGTTGAAAAATGCTACTTCAAAATACCGAAAATTGGTCGGGAAAGGGATATATGTAAACTCGTGGACCTACATTGAACATAATCTCTAAATAATTATTTTATTCAACAGGAGACTTAAAACCTTCAAAATATAGAATATAGGGGCCTATGTCAAAACATGGACCTACATATATCTTGAAATTTCTGCAGAGATGCTTTTCACCATCCATGATCTCAGCCACTTCGATGGTTGAATGCGTCTTATACCGTCAACATACCTATGCCAAAAAAAATGGACCTATATTCGTCAAGAAACCGGAATGTATATTTACAACCGCATTTGTGAAAAACACTAAACATGGATTCTTTTTGGGTGGAAACTGTCCATTCTCTATATCAGTCTATTTTTAGTGCAGCATCCATATAACGGAACCTTCCGAATTTCGGTACTTTGTGGGAGCTTGGGCACCCTTTTTAACCAATTTGCTGAATTTTGATATTTTGGGTACTCCTTATGTTGAAAATCTCCCTAAAAACGAAAAATTTTGGTCCATTCGTCAATTTCGAAATTTTTAACTAAATTTGCTGTAATTGGATATTTTGGTTTCACATGGGGTAGAAAATC